GTTGGATTTCTTTTTCCACAAGGGCCATGAATCATGTGTCTGCGAACCATGTTGAAAAGATGTGGATTTTTGCTTTCATCTGGAATCTCTGCACTAACTATTCTGTCATAAGAATCTGTCGAGTAAAGTTTTGAACATGGCTTCAAAATTATAAGGAAATGAGCATGAGGTAAACCGCGTTTCTGGAACTCTATGACATATGTGTAAGCAGCAACAGATCCGAATATTTCTTTCTTGAATAACTCCTGTTTTAAAACATAAAGCTTTGCGTGAAAGATTCGAGTGAGCAGGTCCGGCCTGTTATGTGCTTCATCTGTTGAAAGCATGAGATTCTTTATCTCTGGCCATGAAGGATTGCAAGTCATTGTAATGAATAAATCTGGTTTGCCAAATTTCTGGACCAAAGCCATAGCATCAACATATCTCCTTCTCATGTCTCGAGGGCCTCCTATGAATGAAGCTGGAAGGACTACTCGTTGGCCTACTTTTGAAGCTTGGCATTGACCTGTTATAACACTATCCATTACGCCTTGCAGCTGTTCTCTTCTTATGAATTCTTGTTTGCTTTTATAGTAATAGAAGTGGTTTGAGGTTACATAATGCATACTGAAGTTTTCTGATCAACATCAGAAGCAATTAAACAATTTAATATATTTTAATGAGATGGTTATTTGATGGATTTTTTATGGCAAATTAGTTTACAACAATAGTGAGAAATAAGAAACTTGAGTGAGAAATAAGAAACAATAGTGAGAAATGAGAATCGTCAAGCAGCTCATATGGTAATTTGAGTTTTTCTATATACAAGATAGTAAATTCAGATCAAAGCTAATAACCTGCAATTCTTCTTGTTTTAGCAGAACAATTATCAGGGACTTGATACAGCTGGTACATTGGGAGGATAGCTGACAAATCTGTTCAAGGTAAAGTTCATGGAATTGTTAGACACAATCGCAGTAGGAATTTTTTTAAAAAGCTCAAAGAACATTTGACCTGAAGTTTGTTCAGCTATTTCTGTCAAGAATTTGTAGCAGTTCATGCATATGAATGATTTATCTGAAAAGTAAACAAGAATACTAATATAACTGATCATGATAATGTTGATGGTTATATATAAGAAGCAATAATCAATGATTAATTTCGAAGCTTAAATCACCTGCATTGTGCAGCATGTTAGTAGCTACGCATGTATGTTGTGTACCACAGTTAGAAGCAGATCCTACGTATAAAAATTAGAGATGGAGTATTGTATCAATAGAATACTGTTTATGATTTGAGTAAGAAAGATATATGAAAAACAAAGTACACCATGTACCTTTCTCATAGCTTGAGAAGCAAGAAATCTGTTCCTTTAATTTTCTACCCAACTGAGCAGAAGCTAGTTCATCACTGTTATTTGCAGAGGGAGAAATCCGAATACCAGGTTTTGGAGCACCTATTACAATAGACAGAGTTCAGATTGGTTGCATGAATATTATAAAAAAAATGAAATTCACATTGGATAACAAACAATGCACAGTCTAATTTACTACAATATAGCAAGAAACACTAATACATATACAACTAAGTTGACATGAATTCATTGATTTAAAGTAGATAGAAATGGTACCTGTAAAGTGTTCTGTAAAATGAGAGTGTGAGAATTCACTGCGTGAATCGCCTGAAAGTCAGGTAGAAAAATTTGCAATTCAATATATACAAAAGTAGGGGTTGGAATTCTAAGAAAAGTTGGTAAAGGGAAAAAAATTCTATGACTAACCTTGATTACAACCAATAATTCCATGAACATTCTCATTGAGTTTGGAAGTTTCAGAACCAATAGCTTGGATAACTTTATCATTCAAAGCTAGTCATCAACAAAATAAGGGAAATAGACAGGTTATGATAAATATCCTATGCACATACAGATTATGAGAATATAGTAAGAGTTTTTTAATCACTATGTACCATGAGAACATTGTTGAGGAGAAAGGCTACGGATAACAGATGCAGAAACTGGTGATTGAGAAGCTTCTTGAAATTGTTGTGGCAAGGACTTGGAAAGTATTTTCTCCAATTTTTTTCTGTGATAAGCTTCTCTGTTTTTTTTGCGCTGAGCCTGTTTCTCTTCGACAGATAGAGCAGCAAATTTTTCTCTTTTTTTACGATTTCGCTTATCCTTTTTCTCACGAAGTTTATCAGGATCATCCGTTATGGATAGCTTGGAGCAGCTCATGTTTTTTATACATATATACCAAGCAACAAACAAAGATAGACAGAGGAAAATCTATGCGTATGGACAGATATATATTGTTTATATATATATCGATAGATAGGTATATAAGTGGTGATGTGCAAGGAACAAACTATTCAGCTAAAAAGGATGAAGACTATCAGTACAGATGGAATGAGCTATGAACTAAATATATTAAAAAACAATAAAAAACCAGTTGAACGAAGGAAAGAGAGTAGAAAACCTCCATGGAGACAGCAGACGAAGCTTATCAAAGTATCTCTGCTACTGCGTATTATAAGAAATTGGAGCACCTCAGTACAGATTAAAATAAAAGAAATTTCTAGTTGCATGGAATAGCTGAAAAACTCATGTGAACTAAGTTTGGATTAGCATAAGAAAATACCTGATTCGAAGCAAGCTGTATGAAGCAAGTTGTAAGATGCAAGATGCGCTGTAATTTGCATGTAAACTGGTTTTTTGAACGTAGCAAATTGTTTGCATGAAATCTCTGGTGCCAATGTATTCATCGATGATCAGTAAAAAACAAGAAATATGCAAAATCGAGACAAAGAATCTGGAAATGACAAATATAGCCAACCTTAGGAAGAAAGTGGTCCACAAAATAAGCATCAGAATGACTAAAACAGTAAAAAATAGATGGTAGTGGGAGACAAGTGATTTAACCCCTATGACACATGATTGAACTCTTTGGTCAAAATTGAGGAATAAAGTATATCTCATGTTTATCACATATGCATATAAAAAAAATATATCCACTTATCACTTATCACTTAATAAATATATAAATTTATCTAGTTGTTCTCTTATATCCACCATAATTCTAGATATTTTTTAATGCCTATTAGCTTTATCAATTTATCAATTTTTTAAAATAAATATATAGATGGTTATCCTTATATTAGAAACCCCTTAAACACAAGTGATGGTTTTTTATATTAAAAACCAGAATACATTTTACTTAAACAATTGATAATATAAACAAAATGTTTGATAATACAAAATGTGTTTAATTTGATAATATAAAGACATTTGATAATATTAAACACGTTTTAATATTAAACTTGTCGGACAAAGTTCAATTCATGGTTTAAGTTCAATTCTAAACATTGATTATGATTTAAGTGAAATTACTTTAAACGTTATAACACATGATCAAAGGGATTTGAAATTTTTTGGGATTGGTTAAATTTTTTCGACATCCACACAATTGTGGAGTAGAACAAAAAATTTAAAAATCCCGACTGCATAATAACGCTGAAACCCGCAAGCGGGATTCTGTGTTTTCCTATTTCAACGTTAAATCGCTTGTAAACATTCATTTATAATAAATTTTAGATTCTAAAATTTGAAGAGCAAAAGACCACACAATTGTGGAGTAGAACAAAAAATTTAAAAATCTCGACTGCATAATAACGCTGAAACCCGCAAGCGGGATTCTGTGTTTTCCTATTTCAACGTTAAATCGCTTGTAAACATTCATTTATAATAAATTTTAGATTCTAAAATTTGAAGAGAAAAAGCCTTTTTTCCTTCTCCATCCACACAGCTCTGAAGTACAACAGAAGCTATGAAAGCCAGCTGCACAGCCAGCAGTTGGATGTTCAAATCACCGCAAAAGCTGAAGCAGCAGTGGGAGCAGTCAACTCACATCAAATGCTTGGATCCAATTTAGCAAGAGCGGTCCCACCACTCAACGTACAAAACAGCAGCCCAAGGTACAAGAGCTTAAAGCAAACGGATGCACTCGAAATCCCCAACAGTAGAAGCACAAAGTGCTTCTTATATATAGTATAGATGTTTTATTTTATTTCTTCTATTTTATGTATGATATTTGGAATAGATGAGAGTCGAACCTTGTATATCTTTGTTATATGGCCACTCAAATTTAAAAATAGACAAGGTGGAATGTGTAAATCACACGATTGTGAGAATAGCTAATGTAAATGTTGAAGCTCCAAAGGTAGAAAAGTCACAATGTCATTGCATAAACTTCTAACTTTGGAGCGACAAGTATATTCAAACTTTAATTGTTTAATGGGAAAAGAGTCTCAATGGCCCTCCAACTCTTTTCCAGATAAAGTTTTAGCCATCTAATAATCAACGGTAAAGTTTTGACTCTCGATCTAATAAAATAGCATATTTATGGCCCTTTTGTCAAATCCAGCAGTTAAATTTGACAGGAAGCATTATTCCGTGCGACACGCGACCAAATATCAAGGGCATTGTGGTCTCTTTTCCAGGGAACAAGTTCAGGATGTCGTTGGGTCTTTCGGTGGCGGCAACGGTGAACTGAGCCGATAACAATAGGGCAAAGAACCTCTACATCATTTCGGTGAAGGGGATCACGAGTAGGCTCAACAGGCTCCCTTCTGCTATCTGTCGTGGTCTTCGAGAGCATGAGTGCCAAAACCGTCGTTGTTTTCGGCCTTGGGTCCTCCCCAATTCCTCAAAAGAAGTATTCATTTTTCAATTGGTTTTTCTTTGCCATCAACATGGGTGCACTCTTGGGTATTACTCTTCTAGTTTATGTGCAAGTGAAGAAGGGCTGGAGCTGGAGATTTGCGGTTCCAACTGTGGCAATGTTTTGCTCTATCGTCATCTTGGTCGCAGGCTTCTCAAAATATCGTTACCAAAAGCCAATGGGAAGTGCCTTTACTAGATTTGTTCAAGTCATTGTGGCTTCTGTTAGGAACCACTTTTTTTTTTTTTTTGTCAAACTTCAACTGCATTATATATAATTAAATGATTAGTCTGCACAGCAGATTTACAAAAGGCTGGCAACTGCCAGGAAATCATTGTGGGCTTCTTTGTTAAGCCACACAGGGAATGATTGCTTCCACCTAGTTTCATGTAACAAGTTAATTGCTAACTTAGCTAGCCTATGGCTACACAGGTTCATTTCTCTCCTTATGTGAAAAAAGGAGCATTTCCAGAATGAGAGACTCAACTGCTTTATGTCTTCAACGAGCATGTCCAAAGAGGTTAGACCTTGACCTCCTATAATGATTCTATCCACCACTGCTTTGCAGTCCGAGAGGATCAATAAGGATGTCATATCTTTCTCAATAGCCTTGCTCAGTGCTGTTCTAATAGCGATAACCTCCATTTCAGTTGCATCTCTACCTCTTGGCTGCGGGATAGACCAAGTCGTCAGAATCCTGCCATTGTTAGCTTTAGCAATGATTCCCACTCCTGCTTTCTTTCTGGCTTGATTCATTCCTGCATCCGTATACATAATGGAACTATGTTGTTCCATTAGTCCAACTAACATGCTCTGTCTGTCATCTGGTTGGCGGCCCGTACCATTGGTCACCTCTGCATTTCTTCCTGCTTCATCAAACTCTATCCATTCTTCCATTGCTTTTTTGGATATCTGGTCATCTTCTTTTAGATCCTGGTTAAAGTTCCACCCATTTCTTGCCTTCCAAATTTGCCAGAGAAAATTTGCTGTGATTTCAATGTGTTTATTCCCATCTTCCCTTGATCTGCCACCCTGCATATGTTCCCACCATTTCCAAAAGTTCCAGTTATGTTCTTCAATGTCGTCCCAAGAGACAGGAAATGTTGCCCAAGCCAGCACTCTAGATTTGCAGCGAAAAAGTGCATGTTCAGTCGTTTCTGGTTCTTCCCCGCAGTATTTGCATATCGGATCACCCTTGCTCGTCCTTCTAAAAATTTCCTCATTAGTTGGAAGGATACAATGGAGACATTTCCACAAGAAATGTTTAATTTTATGTTTGATATTCAGTCCCCAAAGTTGATTCCAGACCTTGGATCTTTCCTTGTTTGTGCTGGAATTAACATTCGCCTTATTCTTCTCACTGCTCTCTTTGAATCTCTCTTTGGCCTTAGCATACCCAGATTTAGAAGAATAGCAGCCATTATCTGTATATCTCCATTTGAATCTGTCATTCTTTTGGAATACACTGAGAGGAATAGCCATGATCGCCTTTGCCTATTCCTTTGAAAACAGTCCTTGAATGATGTCTTTGTTCCATTCCTCCCCTTGATCAAACTGCTAACTTTGGTTAGTTGGTAGCCATTTGGTTTTAGGGAGGAGACTCTTCCATTTTTTGAATTATCTAACCATCTATCTTCCCATATTTCCACTGTTGATCCATCCCCAACTTGCTTCCAGATTCCACTTTCAAGCAACTCTAAAGAACTATGCAAACTTTGCCAAATCCATGATGCTCCAGCTTTTACTTTGGATTGAAAGATATTGGAATTAGGGAAGTATCTGTTTTTCATAACTTTACTTACTAACAAGTTGGGACAGGTAATAAGTCGCCAAACTTGTTTGGCAAGCAAAGCTTCATTGAAACAGAGCAAATCCCTAAACCCAAGACCACCATTTTCTTTCCTATCAGCAATATCATTCCATTTCTTCCAATGCATTCTTTTTTCCCCTTGATCATTTCCCCACCAAAATCTGGCCATTAACCCACTTAGCTCTTTGCACAGGCTCTTTGATAATCTGAACACGGACATGGCATAGGATAGAAGAGCAGTGGCAACTGATTTGAGTAGCACCTCTTTCCCTGCATTACTCAACAATTTCCCTTTCCAGTTCTGAATCCTAGACATCAAATTGTCTCTGATGAATCTGAACACACTGTTTTTCGACCTTCCAACCACTAGGGGTAGGCCCAAGTACTTTCCTTGTGTAACTTGTTGGATTCCTCCTAACTTCTGTAGCACCTCCTCCTTCTCCCTACTGCCTGTATTTTTACTGAAGATGACTGCTAATTTGTTGATGTTGACTTGTTGTCCTGATGCTTTTCCATAGCACTCCAGTATCTCTTTTATGTGTCTTGCTTCATCACCATTAGCTTTACAAAAAATGAGTGAGTCATCAACAAAAAAAAAAAGGGATACATTGGGGCCTTGTCTGACAATTTTGACACCTGAAATTTGTTTGTTACTGACAGCATTGTTTAGGAGATTAGAAAGCCCTTCAACACAGAACATAAATAGGTACGGGGAAAGGGGATCTCCCTGTCTAATTCCTCTAGATGGATTAACATACCCTCGCTTCACACCATTAATATTGAAAGAGTAAGACACAGAGGAAAGGCAGCTATGCATCCATCTAATCCACAGAGGGGCAAATCCCATTTTACAGAAAATGGCATATAGGAATTTCCACTCGACTCTATCATAGGCTTTGGAAAGGTCAAGCTTAATGGCCATGTACCCCTCCTTCCCCTTTCTTTTTGACTTCAGCCAGTGCATATATTCGTGAACAACTATGACATTGTCAAGTATTTGCCTATTTGGAACAAAAGTAGCCTGAGAGTAACTAATGCAAGAGTTAAGAAGAGGTTTGAGTCTGTTCACCATAATCTTGGAAATTATTTTGTAAAAAACATTACACAGACTGATAGGCCTAAAGTGAGCAAGATTGAAGGGGTTGTCTATTTTAGGAATAAGGGTGACCAGGGTCTCATTGATAGCTTTGGAGAGGAAGCCAGTGTGAAAAAAACCTTGGATAGTATCAACTACATCTACTTTGATAATATTCCAAAATCTTTGAAAAAATACAGGGGACATACCATCAGGTCCTGGGGATTTGTTTGGGTGCATGGAGAACACAGCAATTCTGATTTCCTTCTCGGTAATAGGTCTGGTAAGTTGCAAATTCATCTGCTCAGTGATAGTCCTCGGAATACCATTTAATATCTCATCAAAATCTGATGGCTTCGAAGATGTGAATAGCTGATTGTAGAAGTGAGCAATCTCCTCTCCAAATTCCTCCTCGGTTGTGCACCATCCACCCTGTTCCTTCTCAAGCCTGGTAATTCTATTTCTTTTCCTTCGGCCATTCACAACAGCATGAAAATAAGATGTGTTCTTGTCCCCACTTTGAAGCCAATTGATTCTAGCCCTCTGGTTCCAATAAAGTTCCTCTTGTTTATAAGCTTCAGAAAGCTGCTTCCTAAGCATTTTAATGGTCTCTTTAGCATTATTACCATTCCTGGTCCTTGTAGCATGAATCTCTTCTTTGATCCTTTTGATTTCTTTTTTGCTATTTAGCTTCAGCATTCTACTCCAGGCTGATAGATTCATTTTGCACTGTTTGATCTTCCTGCTGATTCTCACTCCTCTAGACCCCACTTGGTTTTTACCCCAAACCTCTTGGATTATGCCCTCCACTTCCCTATATTGCAACCATCTGGAATCAAAGTGAAATCTTCTTTTTGGTTTTCTGATTCTAGGCTCTGTCTCCAAGAGGATAATGTTGTGATCAGATGCTTCCACTTCAATATGAGTCACTCTTGCATCTTTGAATACTTCGCACCATTCTGCACTTGCAAGAGCTCTGTCCAATCTCTGTTTAATTTCTCCATCCCCCTCCCATAGGTTACTCCAAGTCCAAGGGAGGCCCACAAAACCAATATCCAGGAGCTCATTGTTGTTAATAAAGCCTTTGAAGTCAGAGAACGTCCAATTAGGCCTCAACCTGCCCCCCCATTTTTCATCATTGGAAATTATGTCATTAAAATCCCCAATTAAAACTTTTTTTTTACCCCAGATTTTGCTCATATTAGTCAAAAAATCCCATTGCTTTTTCCTCATATTATCGTCAGTGCTAGCATAAATAAAAATGCACCACCAGGTACCAGAATCATTGTCAATTTTCAACAGAAGTTCCAAAGTAAAGGGGGTTGATAAAACATCCAAAACATTGGTAGTATTTTTCCAAAAAACAGCAAGTCCACCAGCTTTACCTACAGGATATCCTATTTTCCTTTTAAAGCCATTCAAAAAAATTTTTTGGTTTTTAGTTTCGCATAGAAAAATAATATTAGGGGAGTGAAGGTGGATTACCTCCTTAAGACAGGGAATAGTCAAGGAGCTCCCTGCCCCTCGACAATTCCACGCCGCAACTATCATGTGATCCTGGGAGACCACTTAAGGCTGGCCTCCATGACCTCAGAATTTGGTAACTCATCGCACTCTTGCTTCCGCTTACACCTCTTCGCCAAGCCCCCATCAATTTGCATATGGTTGGCTTCTTCCTCCTCCTCTGAAGGTTTCCTTTTAGCAGCTACAGTTGTAGCTTCAATGTTCATGTCCACATCTGATAGCGGTATTCTACCCAGCTGACCTTGTTGCCATTTGCCATCTTTCCTGGCTACCTTAAACTGCTTCCTGCCTTTAATTCCCATCGCCTTCACCGCAGGATTATGGTTGCTTACTCCTTGGTTTGCATCTGCTGGCTTCACGACGGAATACCCGAGAGATGTGATGTTCTTTTCTGTCATGATGTTTTCAACCGTTATTTCCATTAATTCCACACGATCCTGTTTGACATCCTCCTTAATTTGAGGACTTTTTAGAGTTAGACTACTAATTGGGCTTGGGTTAGTGCAACTTTTGACTTCCCCTTGGGTCCACATGCTTTCTTCTTGTTTTTTTGTGTTTTCAGATACGGGTATACTAGACCTTTTATCCGTCCCGCCCGTTTTTGAATTTTGACTTTGGATCTTTTGTTCCCCCTCTTTCCCTAACAAGACTGTGTCATCTTCCCGCTCTTTCCGAACAATCTTCAGTTCATCATTGTCAGGTCGACTGGATCCCAAGCCCCTAGTCTGTTGAACTATGTACTCTCCTTCAAACAGAAGCCTCTGAGCAGCCAGATTCATCGATTCTTTTGGCTCCCTAGAGAAATTTGATCAGTACTCTGTTCTCTTTTTTGGGGAAGTTCCTTTGGCCAGAGCTCTCATCCAGGCCCCGTATTGAGGTTTGGGGTTACCCCTGTTTGTACCTGCTTTGAGCCTGCAAGCTTTGTCATTGTGCCCAATTAAATCGCATCCATAGCAGAAGTCTGGGCACTTTTCGTACCTAAAGTCCACCCATATATTCATTCCATTTAACTTGACCACAGTTCCTCTAAGCAGGGGAAGGGATATATTAATCACTACTTTCAGCTTTATATGTCTCCCTTCTTTGCTGCCCCCCAAAGGGATGATAATGTCCTCCACAGCTTCAAAAATACCACCAATCTTTATCCCTATTTCTTTTGTGATCCAATGAACTGGCAAGTTCCATAATTGAACCCAGATGTGCGCATTTTGAAATGCCTCCATTCGGCGATCAATTCCTTCTTCCCACACCTTAACATTGAGGAGCTGGTTGTCTATTGTGTAAGGTCTTCCGTCCAGAACCTTTTCCATATCCATCGCATCGGAGAAATTGAATTGGAATAGATTTGCCCCTAATTCAACTGCCACCATGTTCTTTGGAAAACCCCACACTTGATTGACAAAATTCTTCACTCCTGTGAAGTTGGCGATTCTATCTCCCATTATTCTTCCAAAAAGGCTTTTCCTGCATTCTTCCTTGCCTATATCCTCATCTACCCCGTCCAAAGTAATACCTGAACTTTCTTTGTTGGATAAATCAAATCTGTCGAACACTTTCACAAGGTCGTCAACCATACTCCGAAGAGATATTAAATGGTATTTCAGGCTCCTCACTCGATGAGGTGCTACTTGACCGACCTGCACAAAGGAAAACAAAATCAATCTGTTCAAGTTAGACGCATGCACATAAGACCCTGAGCCAAGATAGTAAGAAACACAAGTGTTTTAAAAACAGAGAGATTAAGGGAATTTTAGCAAGAGAAGGAAGTTTTTTTTTTTTTCCAAAGAGAGAGGGACGTTTGAAAGGGTAAAGAACTACTGTAAACAAAGGAAAAAGGGCGGAAGGAGATGGGTTTAAGTTTCTCGCAAAGTTTTCTACTCCTACTGAAGAGGAGGTAAGGCTCTCAATCTAGAGAGGGAAGCTCTCAACTTAGAGAGGGAACGGGGTAGTAGGTAACCTTTATTCAAGGGCTGTTAGGAACCACTTTAAAGGGGTCAAATTTGAACCAAGAGTTCGGCTTTATGAGGTCCCGACTGAAAATTATGATATATTTGGTGCTCAGAAGTTTCTTCACACTGAACAATACAGGTTAGGTTTCAATTAAGCTTTTTCTCCGGATTACTCACCCGAGGAATCATCAATTTCCTCATATCACACATCTCTTACTTATGGGTCCTCCCCAATTCCAACCCCGAGAGAGGAGCAAACCTCCCCACCGCGTAGCCCATCTGGGAAATTGCCTCCTAAGCCTCCGCTGCCAGCGCCGGCTATTAATCGCTACGTCGTAGGCGAGCCCTTCTCAGTGTCCAAGATGGCAGATTCAGGTAGGCAAGGAGGAAGGGGATCAAGGGTAGGCTCTCCAACTTAATGAAGGGGATCAAGGATATGCTATCACTGGGCCAATTGGGAAGGAGTGTGTTGATCTCTGGCCTTGGATTGCTAGTGCTGCCGCCACTAAATACACTAAATACTTCTTACAGGTAATTAGCCTTTTTATTTTTTTATTTTTTAAAATTGAGGTCTTTGACGAAGAGCAGAGGGAGGTCTTCCCTTAGAGTTCTTACAGCCAAACCCAGGCTCACAAAGAAATCATCTCTGTAGCCATGCTACTTATTATCGTGAGGAGAAGCAAGAGCAACGGCAGCCGTGGCGGTGGCACAAGTAGTGGAGTGGTAGAGGGGTTGGTGGGGCAGAGGTGCTTGGTAAACCATTGAGACTATAATATCCTTGATATTTGGTCGCGTGTCTCACGAGAATATGTTTCCTGTTAATTTTAACTGTTGGATTTGACAGAAGGGCCATGCATATGCTATTTTATTAGATCGAGGGCCAAACCTTCATTGTTAATTATTGGAGGGCGAAAACTTTATCTGGGAAAGAGTTGGAGGGTCATTGGGGCTCTTTTCCCTTGTTTAATTTATTTTTAACAATTAAAGTTAAAATTTGAACTCATATTTTGGAGTTCGTAATTGCAATCAATAATCACGTCACACGCTTGGTAACGAGTAAGTTGGTACGTTGAGAAATCAATTGAATTATGAATGTTTTTAGCGTGGGATAATTTCACAAACCTCTCCTACGGTTTTAGATAATTAAAGAGAGAGTTTCCCTTAGGTTTTAAAAATTATAAATACCTCACATACTTTTATTGTTTATGTGATAATTTATGTCCAACAAGCTAGATTTTCTCTCAAAAATTTTAAATTGCTCTTTTGTATAAAACTAGAAAAAAAATATAGTATATTTAATCACTTTCTTCCCACACTTTGCACAAACTAATTATCCTAATTCTTAAAAACTATCCAAGCATAAATTTCAATTCCAAATACAAAGTAAATGCCCAAAAGATTCCAAATTATATATACAGCATCAATACTTATCATGCAAAGAAAAAAAAAACACACGCACTCCTCATTAACAACTAATTTTATATCCATCTCAATACCTAACACCTTTTTTTTTTTTTGGTTGCCTGCCACGGTATCCAGGGCTTTGCCCTGACTAATCCGTTGGTCGACCCGGGTCGCACACCTGGCTGTGGTGGGTGAGTCTCCCAACAAGGATAGCTGCATACGCCAGGTTTCGAACCCGAGACCTGCTTAAGCGGAACCAAGCTGCTTACCACTTGGCCCAACCCCAGTTGGTACCTAACACCTTTTTAATACAAGCTAATTGAGCATAAAACCACCATTACAATACTCCCATGTTTTTAAAAATATGAACATCTAAGAAGTAAAGAATAAATATTACCTCTAACAAAAATCACAACCAACAATTATTAATCCAACTAAACAAATCTTTATGCAAACTATTGACATTTAATAAAAAAATTTATTGATAGCCGACACAATACAACAAATTCCACTTCTTTGATCTTTCTTCCTATTTCAATCATCATTTTCATTATTTATTTCTCTATCATTACAAGTCTTTTAATTTCCTTCTAGTTTGACACATAATCTCCTCCTTTTTGTTGAGTTTGCAATTACAATTTGTTAATATCCATAAAACTAAAGTGTAGCAGTATAATATTTAGGAAAGAGAGAAGCAAAACTAAACTTGAGACTGAGAAATAGGATTTTTTTTAGGTTTTATAAATTTATTGTCTTAAACTGTGAATTCTCTCGCAAGTGGAGGGCATTGTGAGTACTTTACCATATCATGGGAGGTAAGCGTACTTACTAAAACTTGAGGGAAGTCGAGTAAAATTGTTATTAATAAACCTCAATGGAGGTTTTTGAAATTATCCCTAATTTTTAAGACAATTTTTAGTTCTTAATTAAGTAGAGTTTTTGGGGTTGATATATGAATCAAATTTTCATTTTAGAATCGAGAAAAAAAAATTTTTTGGCACCATGACGTGCAATTATTGATGCTATTGAACGGGGCATAATCTTAATGCGGAATTTGAAAGGTTACGTGAGCTATGTCATACATGTAATACAAATAATCAACACGCTAACAAACCCTTCACTTTTCGAGGCGTTAATTACCAACGTGGTTCACTTAAATTTTGCCAACAACTCAATTTTAGTTGAAAAAGAAATCTTATTAATGTCTGTCTCTCTCACAAATATGAGTGTTTTTTTTTTTAGGGAAAGCTCTCACAATTAATTATGAGTTAGATAGTGTCAGATCTGAAATACCCATCTTAGATTAGGTTAACGTTGTGTTAATTTATTTGGATTGTTCTCCTATTGGTAATATGA